GTGCGGAAGCGCAGGAGGCAGTTCTCACACCTGGGGGCGGGCAGAGGGCGGGGCTGGGCCTGCGGGCGGGGGAAGGGAGCCGGGCCCCAGGTCGCGGAGGGGAGGCCCCCACCTGCGCAGAAGGAGCTCGCCCAAGCGCCCCCATTATTGCGGCCGGCACCCTTCCGGACCCCTTCGGGTCGGAGCCCTGGGAAGATGCGAAAGGAAGTCTCGAGTTTAACTTAGGGGGCTGGCTTGCCACCTGGGAGGTAAAGGGAGGCTGGGCGGAGCCATACCCACGCAGGCCCCGCTCCTTCCACGCTCTCAAGTGCTGGCGACCTGCTCCAGGTACCAGTCTCTCCTGCGGGCACGTAGGGTGGGGCTTGCCCAAGGCCACGCCCACCACCAGGCCCGAATCCCCTTACTGGGAAGGGAGAAAGCCAGGACCTCACACACGGGGCGGGCTGGGGGGTGATCGGGGTCTCACTTGAAATAGCGGTTGGGCTTGTAGTGCAGCCTGCCGTGTGCCACCAGCTCCTGCATGCTGGGGAAGGTCTCGGTGCAACTCAGGGCCGAGCAGCGAAACAGCTTGCCTGGGGGGGACGAAGGTCAGAGCGGTGGGGTGGCCAAGGAGGGCCCCGGAGAGCTCTGCCCGCTTCCCACCCAAGCCTGCCTCCCCAGGACCTGTCCTGACCCTACCTTCCAGGGACTGTGTAGGTGGGCAGTGGGTGCGCAGATGCTGTGCCAGGTCACGAACGCTGGGAAAACTAAGGCAGCAGCCAGGGCTGGAGCAGGGTATTTGCTTCCCTGCGGGAGGCACAGAACAGGGGTCAATGGTCTCTTCTCCACTAAAGGTGCCCCCACCCCCAGGGCTCTGCCTCAGGGGACACAGATATGATGCTGGAATTACCCGGCTGGTTCCCCGCTGGGGCCTTTACTCCCTGATTCCAGCAACAGACCCATCTGCCACAGGGCAGGAGCAGGATTGGCCAGGCTCATCACCGGAGCCACAGCCTGGCATACACTTGGTTAGCCAATAAATGATGACTGACATCCCTCTAGATGGACTCCGAGTTTGGAAATACTTTCTATTCCTTATGCCTATCGTTCAGGGCCTGTGACTCCCCAGAAGGCCCCATCACAGGTCACCTGGCGGTGGGCGTCGTCTGGGAGGCCGCAGCTCCTCGATGGTCCCGGAGACTGTGCTGGTCGGGCCAGGGCTGGGTCCAGGGCCAGGCTGGCAGCTGTCTGGGGCTGGGGAGGCACCTGGCTGTGGCCCTCCGCGTTCCCATCCTAGGGGTGTGGCTGCCCGGTCAGGGCCTGTCTCCTCGGCCGTGGGGGCGGGGGCTGCAGGAGGCACAACTGGGTACAGCACCTCCTGGTCGGTCTCACTGGAGACGGGCTCTGCCGTGGCGGGCATGTCCGGGCTGGGCCCCGAGGGTTCCTCCTCCTGGTGGAAGGAAGAGGCGGAGAGAATTCGTCTGGGCTCAGAGCCCACCTGGGCCAGCCAGAGAACCCCTCCTACCCCGCCAGGACCACTGGGTTCAACACTCCGGAATCCCCCCGTCACCCTGTCACCCCCATCCTGAGGACTCACCAGCAGGAGCGAGCACGGGGGTAAGGGTGGAATGAGCTCCTTATATATGTAAGAAACATACCCTGGCGCCCAATTTGGGCAGGTGGGAGGTCCCATAGGCTACATGGGCGTGGCCTAGAGGGAGTAGGCGGGGTCAATGCCGTGAAGGCGAGGCTCTGGACAGGGCGCGGCTAGGAAGATGCTGGAGGGACCAGCGATGGACTGTTTAAGGGCAGAGACACACTAGCCGGCCTCGAGCAGTGTGTAGACGATGTTGGAGGTGCTGGGGGCCCGGATGTGCGAGGCTTAGGGGAGGAGCCCGAACCGGGTGGGCGTGGCC